GATTCCAGAACATCTCCAGCCTAAGTCGTCGAGTGAAGACGACAAACCGCTGCGACACATTACCCAGAGTTCATGTCTGTAAATCGGCTTAAGTCAAACAGGCAGAACACCAGACTCCAACACTAATATCCACCATATTTCCATTTTTTTTCCCCTGCAGGCACAAACTAAAACCCGCCACAAGGTCATGGGCGTGCTGGACATTTACGGCTTTGAGATATTCGAGGTAAGAAAAACGGCAGATCAAACGTCCGTCCTGTTTTTTCTGATAAGAACGAGGACAGAATCCCCGCGCAGCAGCGTCTCGTTGCATTTGAAAGGATTTGTCTGCGGGCAGTTGGTGTTCCTGTTCTAAACCCATCAACAATAACTGAACCTTGATAGAAAAAAAAAACCGTTCAGATCTGATTAGTTCACCTCCACTGCCCCCTGGGGTTAAACCGTCGTTTAGTCAAGGTTATTTTAAACTCACAGAATACAACGCCTCAGATATAAATGATCAACCTGACCACGGTGTTTTATGATCAAATTAAACTGCGTTAAACAGTTCTGATACAAAGGATGAAACAAATGAGTCCCTGAAGGCATCACATAGACTGTAAAAATACTGAGCCTTAAAAATATATTTTGGGATAAATAATTCAACACAGGTCCAGTACAAGAATTTATAGATATTTCTAGTTTTTAACTCTTGTAGTACTAGTACTAGTAGTAGTAGTACTAGTACTACTAACTTTTAGATCTGTGAAGGTCACGTCACAGTTCATCAAACATAGTAAACCAAAGTTTACTGTCAGTAACATTAAATGTAAAAATGTCCTTTCAAAGTAAAATACATCAATACTTAATTAGAGGTTCTCAAAGTGGGGGGCGCGATGCAGAAATATGACCCCATATGACGTGGTCATGTGGGGTCGGCCAGTAATATTTCAGTGATGTTGCCCCTCACCCTCACCCTCTCCTCCTCCCCCGCTCCTTCATTTAAACACCTTGTTTCATCAGCCCTGCCTGTTGTTCACCTCACT